CGCGGGGACAGCTGTGCGCGGCCGTACAGCGCCACCACACACACACCGCGTTCGCTGCTCTGCTGGGAACCACCGCAAACACAAGAACAGCGACAGAGAAGCCCTTTCTATCCCAACCAACGGCTGTCTAAGCGTACAGCCTTCGCCGCGCGGAAGGAAGGCGACGGCCCGCTGCCGAGTCCGCGCTGCCGACGCCGCTCCGGGACGGCGGGCGCAGCTTTGGAGCGGTGACATCACCGCATCTGGAAGAGGAGTGAGCGGAAGGGACCGATCGCGCCGGAATGCGAAAAACTGCACCCTTCAGAGTGTATATTGGATCTTATTTTCTATTGACACATTGTAGCTATTTTTCCCCCAAATGCTGCGGAGGTCAGTTTATTTACTGTGACATTACCTTTTAATACTACTGCACGCATACATCCTTATTTAAAGTATTAGATAATTCAACATAAAGTAGATGAGCTTTTCGCTGTAGCAGAAAATAATGAAGAAGAAGTGACCTACATATTAATGTATCTTTTACGGTTATGATATCTATAAAATGCATTTTTTAAACATCAAATAATGTTTTTTAAATGTCTAAGTCAAATTACTGTAATGAATTACACATTTGAGAGCAACAAAGGGGTATTTGTCATTTAATTACAGCACTTCTGAATTTAAAATAATTATTTGTGATTTTAATGTAATCACTTCACTTTTAACACGAAGGTAAAGGCTATTTTATCCATCTATGAGGCTCTTGGAGACTGTATTAATGGGAGTCATACAGGTATCACAGACAGAAAACAGCAGCACATAGTTAAATTGACCAACAACATAAAGCCTTTATACATTTGGCTCTCCAAGAAACTCAAACCTTTCTGTTTTTAACCTGGACCTTAAAATCAACAGTCATGGGATATGTCTTTTCAATGCAGGCATTTTTTTGTCTCATGAAACACAGTTCAGTTTTGACTGTATTATACATTATTTAAAAACTGCCATTTCCCTCTGACTGCTTGCACCCATCATCAAAATTGTTAGTATTTTACCCAGTTCATGATGTTGTCACTTCTGTATTTTTCCTAGGGTTACTTCAATTTTTTTAGCCAGCAAGAACATTGGTGCCAATAGAGAAGCAACCAAAGGCTAATTAATTATTTCTGCACACCAAGGGAAAAGGTTGTTGAGGGAAAATGGGAAATACATTTCTGCTTTAAAATCAGACAGGTTTATTAAAGTATCTTGCTGGCACCTGCAGAGAACAATTTGTAGTGACACCATTGTTTACTGCAGCAGAAACGCTGCCTGGCTGCTTCCAAACTCCTTGCACAAAGATCGTATTTTGTTCTGAAAGTCAGCTTCCACAGTGGCTTGGGAACTGGAACCTAAAAGGAGAACGTGGCAGAAGATACTGCCACAGCAGAATTTCATTTTGCTGGTTAATTTACTGACAGCCTGAAAACTGCTCACGGAAGGGTACTATACTTTGGTTACAGTACGAGAACCCCTAGAGAAACCTAAGCACAGTCTGAGAGCAGTGCAACAAAAAGCGTTGCCAGTCTGTGCACTGTCTTTATGATAAAACAATTCCTTACTATCTGTAGTTTGCCATGTGCAGGAGTTCTGATGATTTAGCTGTTAGCCTGTGGTGTGAAAATATAAGAGAGGAGAAGAAAACAGCCAATTTTTTATTTACAATACTCAACAAAAACAATTTTTCAAGAGTGCTAATAATAACCTACTGCCAATTTTGAAACAGAATAGAGTTTACAGACTAATACTCTGTGTTGAAGAAACAAAGTTGGGTTTCACTGTTACATACAGAATCCTCTTAGCCTTGCTTTACTTTCTTATCTGGAAATGATATTTATATCTCCATTAGCTTTTTAGAATACAGCACCACAGCCTTGTAATTTAAGGTACTGGAAGTCACACAGCATAGAGCCACCTGAATTTTGAAGACTCAGGAAGAGATAGGAGAAGAGATTAATTCATAGGGAGAATCCAACTCCAACAAGACAAGGCCAGACCTCGATAGTCTACATGGCAGAAACAGAACTGTTTGTACAGTATGTTGTACAATAGCACCTCAAACTCCACTGGCTTCAAGTAATAAGTAACTCACTGAGAACATTTAACTTTTGCACTGAAAAACCTATTCTGTTAAAACATCAAGAGTTCCTCTTGCTCAAAACATAAATTTCTCACCTCCAGACACTAAACAAAGCCATTCAGAAAACATCCCAAGTTTGCTTTATCAACTGTCTCCACAACATTTCTTAAGATTTTATTTTTTCTTTTCTAAAAAGGGAAGTTCACATGAAACTTTACACAATAGCAGTCCTTTAAGGCAATGGTGAAAAATGCCCGCTCCGTAACATGCACACAATGGGGAAACTGGGCCAGAGGTTAGAACAGGTTAGAGAACTGCATGCAGCACACAGCCATCAGGACGAATACCAAAATATGATTCTTTAAATCAAATACAACCTGGGAGAGAACGCTGTAAAATGAGAATTTGCTCTTTGCCCTTTTCTGCCAACTTCCAGTGCGTGCTATCCCAGCGCTGTCGCTGTGCAGAGCGGAGGAGAACCACAGGAGCAGGCCAAGGCTGCGCTGCCGCCACAGAGCGACGTACCCCGACAGCTCCCAAGCTGTTTCCCTGGGGAACCGCTCGGGTTTTGGCGGCAAATTTTTACTCTACAAACTAAAACGCATCAAAGGTGTCAGAAAGTTACAGGAATTACCTCACAGAGACGCCCGAGGGCAGAGCAGCCTCCGGCGCGCAGCTGAGGGGCGCAGGCCGGGCGCGCCGCCTCCCCGCGCTCAGCGGTGCCGTTATTTTGGAATTCTGCATCACTTCCGTACCTTTCAGTCAGAAAACCCCGAGTCGCTGTTCCAGGCGCGAGTTCGTTAAGCGCAAGAGGCGCATTTCCAACCTTACCGGTTATAACC